AGAGAGAGAGAGAGAAAGAGAGAGAGAGAGAAAAAAAGAGAGAGAGAGAGAGACAGAGAGAGACAGAGAGAGAGTGAGAGAGAGAGAGAGGGGTACATATTTATAGAGATGAAGGAAAGAGAGAGAGGGCATTGCCCACGAATGTAGTAACTGTATCACTGTGAGAAGAATATGTGAGGCAGCGTGGTGGAATCAGGCTCTCGTCAAAATAATGAAATTGAAGAAAATAGCAGTTTTCTCCCTGCTTAGCAATTTTTATCAATTTTTTTTTTTGTGGCTCAACACGGTTTAGGTCCATTTACAAACACATTCCTTTGAGGATTTCACCGAAAACGTTGATTAAAGGCACAAGCATATAAATTTACAGTTGCCATGGACTCTCCAGCTTTGGAATTTACCAAGCTGCTTTGGTGGCCATTTTCTCGCTAATTATACCTCTTAAACCAGGTGACCCCCACCTCTTAAACCAGGTGACCCCCACCTCCTTCAATCCAAAATATCTCAACTTCTATTGGAGATGGATGGGTAATTTTTTCATTGAAAGCAAGACGAATGAACAAGCTTTGAGATGATATCAATAACTCAATATGCCCAAGAATTGACGAGAGCCTGATTCCACCACGCTGCCTCACATATGTTCATCATTGTCATTACGATTACAGTTAACGATCAATGTCATAACTCTTGCTGATACTATTGAGACATTTGTCATTGAAGTAAAGTCTCCAGTAATTCTCATATTGTTACTGTTTTTCGTAGAGTCGGTGGCGGTGATGGTATTATCAATGCAGCCTCTGTTTTAAAGCAGTACATCTTTCATCATTTAGATACTTTTGGTAGTTACAGTACCTATTGAGCATTCATCTTCGGATCTTTCTTTACAGTAATCATTACAACACTTGTTATCACAACCCTTGTTATCATTGTAACTACTGAACTTTTTTTCCTTATAAGAAATCATGCTACAACAGTGCAATTACTGAGGTTCTTTTTGAGGAAACTACAAAACCATTCAAGATAGATAAGAAAAGATAAGATAAAATATAAGATAAGATTAGATGAGATAAGATAAGACAGAATAAGATAAGACAAGATAAGACACGACAAGACAAGATAAGATGAGATATGATAGATAAGATAAGATAAGATAAGATAAGACAAGACAAGACAAGATAAGATAAGATAAGGCAAGATAAGATAAGATAAGATAAGACAAGACAAGACAAGATAAGACAAGACAAGATAAGATAAGACAAGATAAGATAAGATAAAACAAGATGATACTTTATTGTCCCAGTGGGAAGTTATTCTACATTCGTCACATGGTAACGCTCTCTCCAGGACCAGTGACCAGAGTACTTGAATCGATAAAAGTTTTCAAACAAACCTGTCATACTTTCTGAATCTACTCCACGGTCTCCAAATATTCACTGAACAGAAATCATCTAATCTTTTAAAAATTCTGTTCGTTAGGTGCCTGTACGTAAGAGCTAAATAATTCAGTCTTAGTGATGGGTGCATTTATTTACAGAAAGCGTGTTAGCAGCCATGTTCCTGACCAGTTGTCCTGCTACAGGAGAGCTGATCACAAAAGTGTTAAAGACATCAGCACAAACCTTTCTTCACACGAGTGGTTCTCCTCCAGAGAGTGGAGAAAATACCATCAGTCCAGTCGTTGGTGGCCACGTCCAGTCGACCAAACATCTGTGGGGCCGTGATGGCCTTGGGGTTCATCCTCCACTCCTTGTGTGGCTCCCCGCAGTCTGTCATGGCCTTCATCAGCATGTGGATACAGCAGGTCTTGCCGGCACCGCTAGGTCCCAGGGCCATCATGCCGTGACGGACTCGCTGTGTTTCAAACAGCTGAGAAAGAAAGGTGGGCATGGTTGCTGAGACTTTGAGTTAAGGTCAGGGCACGTAGCCCATACAGGAATCCTGTCAGGTAAGAGACAATACTAAGACAAAAGCAACCCTTCCAGGCCAGGAATCAAATACCAGTCTCCCGTGAAAAAGATGGGGATACTTACTACAGTAATTATGGATGATACACTCTCTTTTTTATAAAATTATTGATACCAGATATTGAACAAAATTGTTTAAACACAAACCTGAGCTTGTGCACACTAACGATGCATTCAGCAGCCAAATAGTGAGGTGTGGAGAAAGTGAATTGTTCCATTAATAAGAGTGTCATCCTGGACAAAAGGATTATAGACCCTAGTTCTATGTTATACGATTAATGAAAAAGGCACAAAATAACAAAAATAAGTGCCTGTTATTGTAAGCCACATGACAACAGATGGTCTAGATTGCGTTTTATTTTTTTGTGTCATCAAAATGTTTAAATACCATTCAATTCCCAAGCGTTTAGGTTCAAACAATTTGGGGTAAGCTTTAATTGATAAAATACTAATATTAATTCAATTATCATTATTGTTGTTACTATCATCATTTACTAGAGACTCCAACTCTTAAACATATGAAGAGGTCATTATAGTGCAACGACAACTCTCTGAAATAACCAAACTAATGAAACTAGAGAAAACCAGCAGCTGAAAAGTATGGACTCACCTGCACCAGTTTGATGGACCAGTCAGGGTGATTGATCAGTTTGGCATCTTCCACATTTCGGGAAATAGCTGCTTCAAGCTCAGGGTAACCAGCCTTGTCCAAGGTGATACCTAATAGATGGATTGTAAGTGTTTTTCACCTCTATTAACGCATTATTGCTCTTGAGGTTTTTAATATACATTATAAAGATACTGTGTAAGACGTGGACCCATCAAACACCACTGCTTTTCTCCTTGATAATGGGTGGCCGTCTTAGACGATTTCTACTGTAATTGCAATCTGCTGTCCATGAATTTTTAACAAATGTATTGTTTAATATCAGGAGGCCTGCTCAAAAAAAGGATTTTTCTTGTCCAGTTGATCATGTTCTCAAGACCTATTTTCATTATGCTAAACCAGTTTTAACTCTACAGACTAGAACACATGCCTGAGTTTCTTTTACCCTTTCAAGCACCAAACACACACCTTAGAAATGCAATGGTGTAAAATCTAGCAATTAACAGAATAGGGATTGGGAGCATGAGTCCTATAAAGTCAGATTGCCACAGCTCAAAGGGTTAACAAGTACTGACCAGGGAACAAATCTCCAATAAGGGAGACAAACAGCGGCTCATCCTGATCCACCAGTTTGCTGAGGTTCATGTCACGCAAGACTCTCATCACCACCGTCTGTTCTGTCTCTGTCGGGTTCAGCCGTTTGACGGTTCCCAGAGTTCTCAGCACAGACAGGATGTTACGCAGACCAAAGTCATAATGCACCTGGAACGGCAGTGATGGAAGAGAGTCAAGAAGTGGTTGAATCTAAACTGGCTATGTGATTAGGCATATCGATTTTGCAATTAGTGATAGGCAAAATTTTGTTTTTACTTTTTTTCCTTTAATTTCCAATAGTCACTTGAGCTAAATTAGCAACACAAGATAAACATAACTGTTCTCCACAATAAAATTATAATCTGTTAAAATTTCTCTGGGTTGCTCTCTCATTCTCAGTACATCATCCTGTCTGTCCATATGTCTGTTCAATGTTTATCAAGTACGAGGACATAAGAACATAATGAAAACATATATGCATGCATAGACTTTCAGCAGAAAAAAAGAGAAACCAAGATAACACATGGGGAAAAGAGAAAAACAGGCACATAATAAAATCAAATCTCCACACACTTTGCAATTAGGTATATCAGAGACCTATAGTGGTGAGAAACCTATCAAGCTGTTATGTCCAGACATTCGAAATATAAATCAACATGGTGTAATAATTACCCAAGCCATTTTATTAGTTTTGAATGCATCAGAACAACTTTCTGATTCTATGGCTCTTCCTGACTTTGTGCAGGTTAATTTCTGCTGAATCAAGTGGAAGTTTACAGACACATTCATACACTTAATTATGATGTGGTGGTGCACCATTGTATTAAGGAATACCATGGTAAATAAATTTGACTTTGGTTCAAGTCTGACTTGGATCATTACCGTACCATTTTGACAAAAAAGAAATATGAGGTCTGTATGTAAAAATGACAAATCACACATGCTTCTCCTTTCACTTAGAATTTCCAAACTATCCACCAACCTGCTTGGTCAACTGCTCCTCACAAAGCTTGTACAAGGTGAAGAACTTGCCGGCCAGAACCACATTGTCAATGAAACCCACAGCAGCCAACTTGACACGGATGATGATCTGCCTGTCTGGAACCATCATGGCCACTGTTCTGAAATTGATCTTCAGATTTTCTGGCAGCTCCTGTCGTCCAGCGTATCCAGGGTTCTGGTAAGGAACAAATTCAAACAATTGTTACAACTGATCCCTTAAATCCTCTCCAATTGCTCTAGCCTCATCTTTATTGAAAAGTAAACTAGATGCTTAACAAGATAAACTTACTAAATGTGAGGCAGCGCGGTGGAATCAGGCTCTTGTCAAAATAATCAGAGTGAAGAAACTTGCATTTTCCTGATGGTTTGTGAATTTTTATCATTTTTTTTTTTTTGCTCAACACCTTTCATGCCCATTAAAGAACTCATTTCTGTGTGGATTTTTCATAAAAACGTTGAATAAAGGCCCAAAAAATGTAAATTGTCAGTTACCACGGACTCTTAAGCTATGGAAATAACTAATCTTTGGCAGCCATTTTCTCACTAATTTTTCCTCTGAAAACAGGTGACCCCCACCTCCTTCTTTAGCAAATATCTCGACTTGTATTCAAGATAAATTGATATTTTTTTCATTCAAATATAGACAAGTGAACAAGATTTAAGATGATACCAATAACTCTACATGCACAAAAATTGACGAGAGCCTGATTCCACCACGCTGCATCACAAATGTGACTGCTACTATACAGATTCCCCAGTAAATCACAGCTGAACTCAGAAATTCAAAATGCTGGTATATAATGAAGCAAAGCAAAAAGTACAAACTAATCTAATAAGTCCATTCATTTTAATGCAAGAAACTTACCATTGTGAGGAAAATGCCAAACTCTGTGTTCATGTCCACTGTGTCTCCGTCTGTGAAGATGAACTGCTTCTTTCTCTCTTTCTTGCAAGCCAGGACAATGGCGATCTGCTGAGCAGCCACTGACAACACCGGGAGGTCAATTCTGTTGAACTCATCGAAACAGCCCCAGGAGCCAGACTGGGCCAGACCTGAACACAGACAGACAGTAAGGGACAATAGTCAAATATTCTGTCATGCAATATACAGAATGTGTTCTCCCCTCTCTCTTTCTCTCTCTCTCTTTCTCTCTCTCTCTCTCTCTTTCTCTCTCTCTGAACACAGACAGACAGTAAGGGACAATAGTCAAATATTCTGTCATGTAATATACAGAATGTGTTCTCCCCTCTTTCTCTCTCTCTCTCTCTCTCTCTCTCTCTCTCTCTCTCTCTCTCTCTCTCTCCCCTTCACTCTCTCTCTCTTTCCCTCTCTCTCTCCTTCACTCTCTCCTTCACTCTTTCTCTTCATCTCTCACCTCCCTCCCTCCTTCTCTTTTTCGCTCTCCCTCTCTCTCTATCTCTCTCTCCATCTCTATCTCGCTTTCTATCTCTCTATCCCTCTACCTATGTCTCTTTCTATCTATCTATCCTTCCCTGGTGTCATTTCTAAAATATTCCTCCCCCTGTACTGCTCTAAATCTTCCTGCTCAATTTCTCCTGCTTTTCAAGTTTCCTTTACATCCCTTTTCCTTCGCTTCTCTTCTGGGTTAAAAAATATTCCTCTTCCAACTCTCACCTTTTCATTTTGTCTTCCTTCTTCCTTTCTCCTTCTTTCCACCAGTTACTCCTGATTCTCTGAATCAAACATTCCCTCTTCTTTTTCTTCCCCCTTCTTACTCCTCTCTATTGTTCTTTGATCAAACATTCTCTCCTCTTTTTCTTTTTCCTCCCCCACACTTCCACTCTTTCCCTCCAAAAAACAGCTGATTACCTTTGAAAATCCTGCCCAGTCCTCTGAAATCCATCTGGTCAGAGCAGTTGAAGACGACGACGTACTTGCCGAGGCAGCGGCCCATGTCCTTGGTCGTCTCTGTCTTCCCAGTCCCAGCAGGTCCAGCTGGAGCCCCGCCCATAGACATTCCCAGGGCCTGGGCCAGGGTGATGTAACACCTTCAGACATACATGGGAAAATGCGGCTTAAATTTAGATCAAGAAATGCAATATCATAAATCAATAGATAACTCATAGAAGTGATTAATATATATTCCAACCTTGTGATACAACTTTGTGAAAAAAAATCCAAGAGAACAAGGAGGTAAATCATCAACAAAAAATTAAAATATCTGGCATTATAACATTTTGACAAATGCAACAGAACAATAAAGAAAGAACAATTTTAGACTGCTTTGTCTATAAGAGGTCAAAAGCAGTATAGGAGGTTGTTGTTATTGGCAACGGAACAGAACACAGTTATAAATGTTTCAACATGTAAATATGTGAGACATCGTGGTGGAATCAGGCTCTCGTCAATTTTTGGGCATATTGAGTTATTGGTATCATCTTAAAGCTTGTTCACCTGTCTTTATTTGTATGAAAAAAATATCCATTTATCTTGAATACAAGTCGAGATATTTGCTAATGAAGGAGGTGGGGGTCACCTGTTTTCAGAGGCAAAATTAGTGAGGAAATGGCCGCCAAAGATAAGTAATTTCCATAGCTTAAGAGTCTGTGGTAACTGAAAATTTTCATTTTTAGCACCTTTAATCAATGTTTTTCAGAAAAATCCACACAGAAAAGAGTTCTTTAATGGGTATGAAAGGTGTTGAGCCAAAAAACAAAAATTTAATTAAAATTCAAAAACCTGTGGAAAAATGCAAGTTTCTTCACTTTGATTATTTTGATGAGAGGCTGATTCCACCACGCTGCCTCACATATGACTTTGTACATTTTGTCTAAATCTTATGAAGAATTTAATATTGGAGCAATTTATGGAAAAAAGTCGCTGGTAATAAAATATAAACAAAGGCATTCATTGGGTTGGACCTTATTTTATAGAAGACTTCATATTAAACAAATAAACAGAAAGAAGCAGAATAACCTTTAAAAATAATAAATAAATAAACAAAAGCAACAACAAAAACAACTCTAGTAGGTCTTGACAATTAAGGGATCAGTCTGTGTCAGTATCAGTGTTTTACTAAACGTTTCACAGACACCCTCCATCTCATCCTCATCCTCCTCATCTTTCTTGTCATTTACATCCTTCTTCTTCTTTTTCTTTTTCTTCTCCTTCTTTTTCTCCTTCTCCTTCTCCTTCACTTTCTCCTCCTTTATCTCCCTCTTCTTCTTTATCCTCTTTTCTTCTCCTCCTTCCCTTGATGAGCTGACCTGTCAGTAAGAGGAGTGATGACCAGTCGTTCTGTGCAGCCGAGGAACTCATTCTGGTAGATAAAGTCCACGTCAGTGATGGAGATGAGGCATTTGTCTGTGTCTTCCACAAAGTAGAAACGAGACTGTTTCAGCCACTCAAAGTCCGTTGGGTTCCTGATGTGTTTGCGGCACTGAGAACATACAGAGAAAAGTAGCATAACTAGAAAAACAAATGAAGAAGTCCTGGTTGAAGCAAATTATAGAAAACAACTTATCACGAATATAATAAGAAAACGACAGGCAAATTTCTTCGGACACACAATGCGGAAAGAAGCATTAGAGAATATTGTAACAACAGGAAAGTTTCATGGAAAGAGAGGCAGAGGCAGACAGAGGGAAAAGATACTGGACAAGATGACAACAAGGCTGGGAGCAGCAAGAACAACAGACACCATTGCTGCATCGAAAGACAGATGGAAGTGGAGGTCGATGATCGCCCACGCCAGTCGGCAAGGCACCAGATGATGATGAGCATAACTCAGAATTGCTCACATAATAAAGGGCAAAAGGCCAATATACACAATATTATCACCTGTTGCGATGGAACAAAGCCTACAAGATTGAAACATTTGTTTACAGACAACTGTGATGAGAGGAACAGTTTACAAATTTGAATACAAATGTTTATGTATTACTCCACTACTAGAGCAGTCGAAATATATATTTTTTAACACCCTCACCCCCCCCCCCCCACCCCCCACCCCAGCCTTTGTTAAATCAAAAATAAATTTCTTTCTCACAAAAAACTAACACAGATTCCTCACCAAGGAGTCAAAGATGTCTCTCTGATGTACGTGGATGGTGATAAGCGTCTCAAACTTGGTCCTCTCCATTTTCGTCAAGTCTTTGGTGGTCTGTTCAATGAGCAGGTTCAATAGGTCAAGGAAAGCCTGGTTGGTCTGAGGCATGATCTTCCTGTCGTACTTGGCGTTGGTCAAGGCCTCAGTGGCATCGCGAGTCCAGATCATCTGGATTCCAAGCAAACCCACCTGATTGGAGAGAAAATGAAAAATTAGCACACTCGCAGAAACCAGAATTCTCTTGCAAGAATAACAAGTAGCTTAATAATAAGCCATATGCATACCAAGACTGCTTATGTTTTTTCCTGAACTGGCATTCAAATAGGAAGCCTTGTGCACCATCATCTCAGAATGTCGGACAAAAGAGCACAAATATCATCACCTGTTGTGATGGAACAAAGCCTACAAGATTGAAACATTTATTTACAGACTACTGTGATAGGAGGAACAGTTTACAAATTCGTTCATTATGTTGTAAAATCAAAAGAGTCTGTATGCAGGCAAACACTTATTGCTGCTGACAAGAGCATCTTGGTTTACAGTCGTTTTACACTTATTTCTGAGGTGTGCTGACAAAATGAGTTACTTCTCGGATTTGAGCATTACGGAAATTGATACATCAACTTGATAGGTGAAGTTTGTACAATTTGTGAGCATGGAATAGTAAAAGACACAGTAAACTTGAACAAAATGGCATCAATTGAAAATCTATAAATCTGATCCCAGTGTCGATTTTCAGCCGATATCGCCATTCTTGGATTGCGAGAAGTAACTCATTTTGTCAGCACATCTCACATTTCTTATTTCTTTTCTCTCAGATTCCAAGGGGTGCGCATAGCTTCCTGTTGAAATGTTAATGTTGAAAGGCGCTAACATGCAACGTATGATTACACAAACATCCATCAGGTACACACCAGTCATGGCATCACCCAATTCATCATAAAATTACAATGTATATAAAGTCCTTGTAACCCCCATTTCCATGCAGGGATATAAAAAGCCATCTTATCTCTCTTTTTTTCATATCTATTCTCACGAGCAACTTACCTGTGCGGGGAAAGAGTTGAGGAACTCCAGGAGGTTGAAGCTCTGGTCCTGTATGGCCATGGCGGCCGTCCTGATCACAGAGTGCAGTGACTTCTGGGCCTGGGTCATCAGACTCATGAGCCACACCTCCACGTTGCCCTCTGCTTTCACCGGTTTCTCCAGCTGCAAAGAAATAACAAATTGAAATCTCAGGGTGAGTTGACAGAAGCAGTAGCGAAATGATGACAGTCATTTATTAGCTCTAAGATAAAGGAACACTGACTGAATACCTCCATTGCCACACAGTGGCAGAATACAATACAATACAATACAATATACAATACACAATACAATACACAATACAATACAGTCAAGATTTTTGTAGACAATGAGATAAGACAATTTCAGAAAGAGGCACTATTTTGCACACATCTATAATCTTTAAAACAAGACTAACAAGTGGCATTTTGAAAGGAACTCTTGCATTTTTCAGACTTGACAGAAAAACAAATACTGTACATATTAATTAAAGAAATTATTGCAGTTTTAAAAAGTGGTAGACCAATGGAAACTTTTTAAGGAAGATTTAAAAATGACAATGAGTGAACAAATGAGCAAATAAATTACTGAGTGAGTGAGCTAATGAAAGATGGCCTTCAGACCCAAAAAAACTGACCTCGATGGATTCTCCCTCTGAGGAAATGATGGCCAGAATCTGGTCATAGATTTTCTCATGGAAACGGACGTTCTTGGTGTTGTCAAAGACAGAGAGCAGGTGAGCTTGGATGGTGTGGGGGTCACTGGCCTGGCCGAGAATCTCCAGCAGAGCTGGGTCAGACACGAAGAAAAATCTGGGGAAGCTCAATCTCTTCTTCTCCAGGTACCTGAAGAGGAAAAAAGGTTCAACATACATCAGAATTTATTAAAGAAAATGACAGATTTCCGTCTTGGCCAGGTTTCCATTAAGGCAGCTTCGACTTTACTATTATCATCATTATCATTATTACAGGAGTTATTGTTAAAGTGATACATAGAACCTGCAAGTTCTCTTATACCACAAGGAGGAGCATTAACACTGTGACCCAAGTCATAGCTTAAGAATGTGCAAGAAGAAAAACAACATGACAAAATGTTTGAGATACACATTTGTGAGTGCTCCTACTTTACTTAAGATGGACAAACTAGAAGTGCTGTATAAGGAAGGACCCACAAAAAAATCCTCATCAAAATAATAAAGTCTGATTGCCACTTTCTTTAAATTGTGCGTGAACAAGATGGATTGTCTACGTATTTTGTTCCAGAGTACATGTGTATGTGAGGGCAGTACATACAGGCATGTGTATGTGTGGGTAGGAGCACAAATACGTGTGCTGGTTAGCATTGTGCATCTGGTTACAAACTCAACCAGCTGTTTAACAACTAAAACCAAAAGAACTCTAAATCTTTTGTCATTCTCTAAGGACGATTTCTTTTCACAAAAGCCTAAGAAACAACTTATTAGCTTTCAGCTTTGGCATATTTAACTTTTTCACAATCCACGCAGAGAAATGGGTGGCGAGCCATAATCAGCTTTGTTTGTTAAGAAGAAGAATCTCAACAAATAAGCAAAGAGTAATACAGACTTACCCAGTGAGAGACTTCTGACAAAGCTCCAGCTGCTCCAACAAGTGAGGCAACAGCTGTATGAGCATGTCCTCCCCCACGCAGCATTGCACTACGTTGGGGGTCTCGTGGGCACGGGTCATGATCTTCACCCACGACTTGTCGATGTTGCTGAAACGTTTGGCTTCCTAAATCATGATATAGAAAAGAGTAGACTATTACCACTTGAAATTTTACTGAACAACTATCCTATAGCTGGCGGACTGGTCAGAAGTATGGCTACAGATTATGCTGTTATGCTGTGTGAGAAAAAGTATGCCCATCAATCACATATTGAAATAAATTTTGTTCTTACATGCATGTGCCGAGGAAACAATCAAAGCGTGTTTTTATTTCTGTTTAATGAATCGTTTGAGTTCGGTTAAAATTATGAGAAAGATTTGAGCTCTTCGGGCTACATGCTTTGAGTTGTGGTGAAAATAAAATGTAACGAAGTATAAGAGACAACGAAGTATAAGAGACAGTCGGGTTTTTTTTCTGATAAGTGCACATTAGTCAAGAGTAGGTTATACTGTTCCTCCATTTTGGCGTCTTAAAAAATGCTGCGGCTCAAGTGCTGAATAAAAGAATTTGATGACAAGAAACAATAAAAGAACAAAATGAATATCATGGATGTTTTGATCAAAGGGATCTGATTTGTCATAGAATCCCTACAACATGCAATGTAGCTCACATTAAGTTTATATCCAAGAAAAGGAATGTTCAAAACATTTTTTGATACAGCATATTTGCCGTGTACAAAGCTGATAAATCTACTCACTTTTGGCAGTTGTTTAGCAATGTCTCCACCAACAAAGACAGCCTCCAAATACACCCACAAGTTCTGCACTGTCATCCAGTTCTCAATGATCTCAGAAGAGTTGGTCAGGTTGGCAACCCATGTCTGAATGTTCTTTTTGAAAGGAGCATTGTATCTAAAAAAAACAACAACAGTGAATTACAAAGTTTTGTTTGACTGAGGAAGCCAGACATTAGGAAATAAATAACTTTCTACAATCAAAAGCTCTACATAACTGAAAGCAAACATTCTGAAACTGAGAAAGTCAGTCAAAACACTTTCAAAGTTTTATACAACATCAGTTCATTCTTTTGCTTCTTCCAACTTTTCCAACACTGCTAAGGAATCCCAGTTTCTTGTGTTACTCAGAACAGTCTTAGACAAATTATCAAAAAATTCACTCAGACAGAATAAAAATGAGAAAAAGTACTGAAGACGAATTTAATGAGGACTGAGCAAGATGGAAAATGTATTTGGACAAAAAAGCATGTTACCCTATTAAACTACATGAAAAGAAGGCAAGAGAAAACACAAAATACACTGTTCTCTTTTTTAAGTGCACCAAAAATTATTGTTCTCTTGCTCAAACAATCTTCCCTAAACATCGACTTGGCACTGTATTTCTTTGATATATGTGAGGCAGCGTGGTGGAATCAGGCTCTCGTCAATTTTTGAGCATATTGAGTTATTGGTATCATCTTAAAGCTTCTTCATTTGTCTTTCTTTCAATGTAAAAATTATCCATCCATTTTCAATAGAAGTGGAGATATTTCGGATTGAAGGAGGTGGGGACCACCTGGTTTCAGAGGTAAAATTAGTGAGAAAATGGCCGCCAAAGCTTGGTAAATTCCAAAGCTAGAGAGTCCATGGAAACTGTAAATTTATATTTTTGTGCCTTTAATCAAAGTTTTCGGTGAAATCCTCAAACAAATGTGTTTGTAAATGGACATAAAAGGTGTTGAGCCAAAAAACAAAAATTTGATAAAAATTGGTAAGCAGGGAGAAAACTGCTGTTTTCTTCGATTTCATTATTTTGACGAGAGCCTGATTCCACCACGCTGACTCACATATTTTCAACATGAGCTAGACATTTGTAAATCTAGATGCAGCCAGACATACCTGTTGCTAAGAAGTGAGCTAAGGACCATCAAGGAATCTTCCATAAGTGACACAATCTCACTAGTTGAGTCACCCCGAAGCAAAAGTTCTCCACGGTTCTTGAAATTTCCAAAAGTGAAATCCTGAGTGCCCCAGTCAGAGATCACTTGCTTCAACTTGGCTTCAATATCCTTCTCCTTAACCGCACTGATACAAATGTCCTGGAAAGTAGAGAACATCAGAATCTCAAGCTAAAGCAAAACTTATTGTAACTCCAAATATAGAAGAATGACCAAAAAAAAAGGAATTGTGGCATATCTTTTAAAGGCTTCATCAATACAAATAATACTATTATTTAGAAAAATCATGGGACTGCCTGCTATGACCTCACTTGCTAAGGCCAAGTCCGACAATGCAACATTTTTGTAAAAGTGATGACTTTATACGACCCAAGAGTAAGACATGAAGTCCTATTTCTAACAAGTTTCCCCTTTTGTTCTTCGTAATTTTCTGGGTCACGTAACTTGAAAAAAAAAAAAAACAAATATCAAGTAACCCTGTAACCTAAAAACATGTACGCATTATAATCAATACAAAATGTAATATAAATATTTCATGACTATCATGACAAGAAAACAACAACTTCAACAACAATAACAATAACTACAACTGCTTCTACTATTTCAACAATTGTGCTATCTACTTTCAACTATCTGCAATCTTAATTTTCTATTTCAGTTAGCAACATATTTTTGTAGTTAAACACTTATGAGCTTGTTACCTCAATTTCCTCCTTGTATTTCAACAAGGGTGCCTCCAGAATGTTGCGCAACGTGAAGTTCTCTCCCTCAATGTCAAACTGATGTCCCGTTGTGTCTGACATCCTCTGCCAATGTCTCTGCTTCATTGCTTTGTTTGACATGAGCTCTAGCAGAGGAACCATTTCGTTGAAATCATCGATGGTCTTCTTCAGGTCCCCAAATGCAGGCCAGTCCTTCAGGGCTTTAGGAAGCTTACGGCATCTGATAATTGTGTTTGATGAGTGGTAGTGTGAGAATTTAAAGGAAAGGAAAGAAATCAAATGTGCTTGTGTTGAGATAAGCCAGGGTGGGACTGTCACTAACCAAAACAATTAGAAAGAGAAAATTTCAGTCCTACTTGAATTGCCATAAAGGGCTTGAACATCTTGCTCTCTCTCTCCTCTCTCTCTCTCTCTCTCTCTCTCTCTCTCTCTCTCTCTCTCTCTCTCTCTCTCTCTCTCTCTCTCTCTCCCTTTCCCTCTCCCTCTCTCTCTCTCTCAAAACCAAATTTCTATCTTTATAAACAAGTACACATACCCAGACACACACAGACACACACAGACACACACAGACACACACACACACACACACACACACACACACACACACACACACACACACACATTATCAAATCCATCGTGTCTCTCCCCTCCTTTCCCTGCTCAACCTGTACCTGTTTTGGAACTCCTGCAGCTCAACGTTGATCTTCTCAATGTTCACATCCTGCCACAAGATGTCGTAGTAGCCGTGCACGGTGTCAATGACGTTGTTGTACAGGCCGTACAGTTTCTGCAGCAGGTTCAGCTCCTTCTTGATCTGCAGCAGCTTGGGGTACTCGGAAACCTGAGGAAGTCATTGTAGATACAGTCAAACCTGCTCTACCAGCCACTTCAATAAGAAAATCAGAGGGACAAACGGCCACTTCCCATTTCCTCTCTTGTCTTTTTTTAAAACAAAATAATGCTATGTTTGGTCAACCTTTCTATTTGGCTGTGAATGCTGGACAATCACTAAAGACAGTGAAAATAAAATAGAGACAACAGAAATGTGATTTCTTAGGAGACTGCTAAGAGTATCGTGGAAGGAAAAGAAATCAAATGAGGTAGTGCTTGATGAAGCCCACGTGGGACGCTCAATGTTAAAAACAGTCCGGAAACGACCTTATTATGGTCAGTCTCTGTGATCAAAACACAGAAGACCCTTTAACCGTCAGCAGCCCAGCCTCTTCCTACTCCTCCACCTCCTTTACTTTCATAATCTCCCCTTCCCAGGTCTTTATCTTTTCATTCTTCTTCTGTTTCTGTATTTTCTCCACCAACCCACAATCCTTCTTCCTCCCCTGACACATATTCTTTACTTACCGACAGACCAAAGAGCTCCTCACCCCCGGTGTAGGTGATGAACTTTCTGTGGAGCGTGTCAAACGTGTTCTGGTAGATGACCAGTCTGTCCGAGGCCTCCCGAGGTGGCACACCTGCCACCATGGGACCTTTCTGTTAATGAAATGTATAGCAGACAAAATCAATTACAATACTTACTGTCCCAATTGGCGTATCAGAAATCGCTTCAGAGGCACACTATTTTGAGCATGGTACAAATATGAATAAAGGCCTATTTAGAAAATATAAGTCCTTTTTTTTCACTTCTCATGGAAATTCAACTCACATTTTTTTGAGTAGGCCTATAGTACCCATTTAGTGAAGAAAAAAGTGACAGCGCCTACAAGGAATTGGTCCAGTTATAATGTTGATATCCTTCGACTAAATCAAAAGGAGCAAAAAATGTGGACACATGTCACCTTATATGTGACCACTCATTATTCATTTGATAGGGTGTTAAGAACCTCTTCACATCGATCACATGAATGAAAACCTTACAGTATTTCAAAGTAGCTGTATGTGTGCAATTCAACATGGATGATGCTCGTTAATACTAAGCTGTCATTTTTATAAAGTTAGGCAAATGCATCCATGTTACCTGTATGTCATACTGGATCGCTAACAACAACAACCTGTATGTCATAACTTGATGAGTATAGGATTTTAAAAACAGATCAACTTTCATTGTATGTTTGGGTGTGAATATCTTCTCTTCCAGAACATTAGAACAAAGCACAGATTGCATAACGTGACAAAAGCATTCACGGTTTGCAAATGTGGGTTGTCGCAATATTTTCCAGACCATGTTTAACACTTTGGGGTCACTGGGCACAATAATGCGCCTTGAAATATCATCCGTTCTGGTCACCTGGCGCAGATCTACGCTGCGTCAGGCCCGAGAGGTCTGTTGCAGTCACTCTCCTGGCTGGGTGACTAGATGGGGTATTTTGTACTGCTGGCTGTGTGACTGCAAAGTGTTACGGAATGGCTTATACAATAAACATTCACCCAGTAGAACAAGGCACGAGGTCAAAAGGCTACAGCATGGCATGCACAAACCTCATCATAGCTTGAGTAGTAGTCATCACAGTCAACTTTGAAGACCTTGACATCCTCAATAAGATCTTGCTTGAAGTCAGGCTGGATCTTCAACAGATGGTCCTGGACTTCCACAGCCTGGGCCTGATGAAATGGAAACAACAAATTTTTATTGAATCAAAGAGAAGAGTATTGACACAGTGAAGAAAGTCTGGCCTGTCTAAATGAACCAAGGGCATAGGAAAACAGCAAATGGCAGAGTGAAAGATATGGGGTCACCATCATCATCCAGTGCCAGATCTGCGACAGATGTCGGCGATCATGGTTTTCCATTCATTCCTTTGCTCGGATGCTCTCAAAAAAGCTACGTTTCCCTGATCTTTCCCTGTTACCCATTTATTTAGGTTCCCTAAGTATGTTGTTCTGGGCCTACCCCTGCCTCGCTTGCCCTCAATTTTGCCAGTGAGAGCTAGATGTTCAAGACCCTTATGTCTATTCAGGTGTCCCAAAAACTGCATTTGTCGTTTCTGAGATTGTTTTTAACATTGAGCGTCCCACGTGGGCTTCATCAAGCACTACCTCATTTGATTTCTTTTCCTTCCACGATACTCTTAGCAGTCTCCTAATGGGGTATTATCATTAATATGAGAATTGTTTGTATCATAAGTTGAAGAACATTAAATCAACTAACTGCCCTGAGTAGGAGGAGGGAGAGAGAGAGAAAAAAGAGGAGGAGAAGGGGGAGGAGATACAGCGGATGTCACTCACTTTGTGCTGACAAAAAGCCAAATGATAGAAAGAATCACCAAATAAGTACATAAAAGTAAAAACCACAGGTGCCATCCTCAATCATAAATCAAACATGAGCCCCCTGAAGACAAACTCACCTGCAGCCTCTCCCAGGAGTACCTCAGAGTGTCACATTTCTCAGCCTCTTCCTTCTCTGGCTTCAACTCATGTTTGTTCAACATAGCATAGGACTCCTGCATAAAAGAAAACAAAAACCATGATAATGATGCAACTAACCTGAAGTTCTAGCCCAAGTATAAATTTCCAAATGAGTTCATTTAATTTAGAGTAATTGAGACATCCATGTAACAGCAGTGTGTGAAACAACTATACGATCAAAGCAAGGGAAAATCCCCAATCACTGCAAGACCTAATCTGTTATTGTAATGTAACTAAATAATTCAAGACAGTTTCAAGCCCTATGGGGAAATGGTTATACACATGGGTGATTTTTTTAAACTGCAAAAATTTTTCAAAATGAGCTTGGAAAATGTATGTAAAATATGGCAAGTCTAGAGAGCACAGGATAAAATGTTTTAGAACATACGACAACCTGTGTTCTGAGAGCATACCTCAATTGGTCCAATACACATGTCAATTCTGATTTCACTTTCTCTGATGTCCTTCAAAGCAGCCATGGCAAAGCGGATATCATCCAGGTCTTTGATTGGGCGTGTCAGCCTCTTGTTGAGGTCCTCGATGAAGTTGAAGATTTCCTCCATCTCTGTCTTGTACTTATTGTTGCAGAACTTGCCAAAGGTCATACGCCATGCCTTGGTCTCCGTGGTCAAGCCAATCTTCAGATGTTCTGAAGGTAGGAAAAATAAACTTTGAAGACTTGTGGATCTAAAAGCATTCATTTACAATTTTGCAAAGAGAGAGTTGGATATTCCACCTGTCTATAGATATGTTCAAGCTTTTATTTAAGGATATTTGTAGTTCAAACATAACTTGTATAATTTAGCAGTACACTAGAAAGCAAAAGAGACAAGATATTCAACACGCATAATAAAATTTCTTTACAACAACCTTTCACTTGTTAATTCTATATTCACAGAGAACAAGTTCCTTTTCTATTTTTTAATTCCCTGTTTCTACTGTAAAGTGCTCTGAAGATGATTTCAAAGGACAGAACATTTGTTTGAGTATGGTTCAACAGACGCACATCGATATAATAATCATTCACATAAAGAAACCACATTTCTATTTCATCTCACCTGACATATGCAACAGATCTATCCAAACAAACTTCTAGAACAAATCAAGGAACACCAAGAAAAAGACAAATCAGGTTTTTCGTAGTTCCCTCACCAGTGTAAAGAGCAATGGGTCCTGCATCATAGTACTCTGGCAGGCTGTTAATTTCTATCTCCATTTCCTCATAGCTTCGGACCACTGCCTCAAACTCAGACAATTTGGGGTCATCCTTCATGAACTCTTCCAACGCCACCTCCCTGTCCTTCTCCCAGATTTTGTGGTAGTCTGCAAACTGATCCAAAGCTGTGGTCACCTCCTGGGAAAGCACAAAAGAGACTTATGAAAAAGCTTAGCTGCAATCAATGCATACCAAATAACAAACCATAGAGACTTGCCAATGTTTATTCAAAAACAGAATTGCTTCCAGTGAAATAAGGTCACACTTTTTCTCAATGAATAATAATTATAATAATTGCATTTATATAGCGCATATCCATGCTCAAGAGCTCATTCTATGTGCTTTACAACTATTATTACCCCAGCAGACCCTCTGAGAACACTCAGAAACATACTCGGATTCTGTGGAAGCATAAAGTGCAAGCTGCGGATTTCACGCCCTCAAACACTATCAAACTGACAAGATCGTTCACTGTCTATAGCTGGGTACCCATTTCCACCTGGGTGAAGTGAGGAAAATTTGTGCAAAGTGCCTTTGTCAAGGACACAACGTCGGGCCCCTGACGGGATTCGAACCCACGACCTAACCGTTGCAAGTCTGAGGGCTTAACCACTAAGCCACCGACGCCACATCAATGAAAACATCAGAAATAAATATTACAATCTCTAAGAGCACAAAAGGATGATACAATTTGAGTTTTTGAAGCTTTTTCCTCAAAGTTTTGTAAGTGCAATGTACACAAAATAATTGTTCCACTAGACTAGCTTGACAAATGCTTGTTCTATTTTCTAGAACTTTTTGCTGAGAGAGGAACTAGGTGCTCTTTGTTAGACTATGCTCCATTCCTTGAAAGGTGATACAGCAAAAACAGTCGACAATTTCCCTCCTCTGGGCTCCTGACTCTTTCTGCAGCCTTTCTACTGCTACTCCTTGGCCCCTTCTTACTGCTGTCTTTCTGCCACACCCCTGATCTTCTGGTAGGAAAGATCTACACCTAGCCTTCTCGGACAAGGGTGAAAAATCTCGGAGGGCCCGTGTGCAAGTTGCCCACGTTAAAGATCCCTTGGTGGTCTAAAATCAATAAGAGTAGGCTTCGGCCGCCACCTGGGCTAAATTCAAAATTTCCTACCAACTGAAAATATTTGGTGTGTCCCGCGCGCTCATATGATCTTATGCAGTTGCAAGCGCCGTAAAAACACTTCCCAAAAAAAAAAAAAAAAAAAAAGACAATTTCTACATCGTCATCTATTCACATAATTTCATTCTCATTATTGACCCTTTCTTAATCACAGAATATATTTTTTACAATCTTTCCTTTGCCCAAAAACCTCCTCAGCAAAGTAACCGTACATAAGATAAAATCACAGTGAGGAACAAACCTTCTTGTTGGAGTTGATGCTGGTGGACAAAAGAGAAGCCAACTTGGCAATCTCCTTGTTATCGGACACAGACTTGTAATAGTTCTTGGGCTGCTGTTGAATGACGTAGCTCTTCACCGACTCCGCATCGGCTTTTTTGCTGGCAGCCTCCAGGTGAGACATCTCAGACGGGGCGTTGCTCACCACGCTAGCCCGTCGCTCCCCACCTTCTGAGGGCTGATCCACCTGAGCTGAAATGTGTAATGAGTGAAGAGAGTCATAAGGCAGCTCAATAGGCCTACATTAGTACAAACACAGTTCCTCATGCTGCACACCATATTTCTGGTAATACATTTCATCTTGTCTTGAAGGGATACACAGTTTACAGACAGGACATAAGTTGGCAGTTTAGTCTTTTCATAACTTTCCCTCGCTCAACTTGAAGGGAGAATAACTATTTCGTACAAGGAGTTTGTGTGAGAAGTAGGCAATTATCTGCAAATTTTTCTACTACATGCTACTACTAACACAATTCCCAATACTGCAGACTATACTTTTGATCACTCGTTTCATCTTGACTGTGGTTCAAAGGAGGGGAACTGAAGTAATTAACATCAAGATGACGTAAAAGAGAAAAATCTAGAAAAAAACTGGAGTCAAAGGGGAAAAAAATGAATCAATCTGTTCCTACACCACTGAAATACAGCTGCATTCAATTAAGTCAAAAAGAAAAAACAACTTGAAAAATACAGGTTCAATATAATTGATGACACTTAAAATTCAATAAAAGCTCAAAATAAAAGCAGTCAACAAGCAAGTCACTATCTTGAAAGCACATGCTTCTAAATTCCATTTTTATTCAGAACATATTCATTCTGCAGTTCTTTCACAACTCCTCATCCCAATTTGAGTCATTTAGGAGGTGGGCGGCAGAGACCCTGCTGTCAGAGCCAACACGGGCAGTGTGGGAGACATCTCAGGAGATACTTGATAGAATTACTTTTTCCACACTTAAATCAAACTCACATATTTAGTATGCGACTCAAAGATCCTAACTATTAAACTAAATGCATCCAAAGAGCATCTTCAGTGAGGAGTTTTTCTCAAGAGTATGTTAAACAGCATAACTATCTCAAACTAAAACATAAATAAATTATTGTTCACCTACATGGGGCAATGATACACCGATGAAGTGACACAATCAAAGCAAACATTTCAGTTCAAGTTTCAAAGACTTCTAGATGATAATAATAATAGTAATAATAATAATTGCATTTATATAGCGCATATCCAGGCTCCGCAGCATGCTCTATGCGCTCTACCACTACATTCATTATCACAGCTGACTCTAGAACACTCGGAAACATTTTCAGCTTCCCAGGAAGCTTACAGTGCAAGCTGAAGATTAAATTAAATGTGCTAAAATACTAACAAACTGACAAGATCTTTTGCTGTCTATAGCCGAGCATCCATTTCCTTTTGAATGAAAGAGGAAAATTAGCGTAAAGTGCCTTTGCGCGCTCATATGACCTTACGCAGTTGTGAGCGCCGTAAAACCCTGTACTACTACTACTACTAAAGTGCCTTTCCTGAGGACACAGCCTCGTGCTTGAATCTGTACCCTAAATTTCAGTTTGTGTTTGCAGGTATGCAAAGGGCGGTCATTTCTAAAAAATTAATTTACTAGCCACTTGCCAAATACAGAATATACGTTTTGAACCGAAAAACAAAATAATTTTATTCAGCACCACTACTGTTTGCTAATCTGGTTCGCAAATATATACAGTTTTCACAGACATCTACGTATTGGCAATGTTTTTAAACAAAATCTATGTGAGGAGAAGCAGAGAATATTCGTGATATCTACCACATAGCTAGATAAGATAAGATAAGATAAGATAAGATACATCTTTATTGTCCAGATCCTGGCACATTGGTTTGGTGTTCCACCACGAGTACACACACACACACACACACACACACACACACACACACACACACACACACACGTACACAATCATAATTCAGATTCCTGACAATCATAATTCAGACAGGGCACAAGGTGCTGTAGTGACACTTGGTATATCTTACAACCATTGCAGCAAAGTCATGCATATTTGACAGTGAAATTCATCTAATTCGTGACATAGTTATAAAATGGAATTCAATAAGTGATAAACATCGATACTTTTTGTGAAACTTTTTGTTGCAGAGCATTTGTTCAGAACATTAAAAAAGATATTACCTGAATCCTAAATCTGACGCCATCAGATTTCACGAGATAGACATTAACAAATCAAAGTTGAAAAATTTCCATCTGAATATAGTGAAAGAATAATAACAAAGAAAGGTACAAAGACAATTTAAAACCGAGCATGACCTAAAAAGCTGAGTTCAATGATGTAATATGACCATCTTCAGATCACCTTGCTATCTCAATATGGTTCATATAGCAAAAAGACCTCAGATCATAGAATAGAACATAAATATAAAGTAGTCATTTCTGAAGAAAATTTCAGCCAAAATATATTTTTCCCAATAGAGAGAGGACACAAAAGTATTTACATTATTACTTCAGCGTTTATTTGGTTTATTCACCTGAAGCTTTCTTCTTTCAACGCAGAAAACTCTATTCCCGAACTATTTAAAAATGGCCTTGACAACCTACTTACTGCAAATGAAACCTGTTGGTTTGAAAGCAATTTCTTTCTTGTTCTGAAGGTATATAGAGTTTATGAAGAGGAAATCTGACCGGGTATTCCGTAGTCTTTTGTGTTTTTCCTTTATTCAACTTGAGGGGAGTGTACAATAATTTTGGTACAGGCTATCCATGTATTAAATAAGCAATTTCATTTGATCTTTCTCTAACCTGAGGACACCCCATAAGCTCAGTTGTATCATAAAGGACTACGGAGCAGATGACCCTGGTTCGGGTTCCCAATGGGGCATTCTGAACTTGAGTTATCTAGGAGTTTTTAAAGCTTTCCACCTATTTGGCTCAGCCTATCAAGATGGACGTTATTCGGAGGTCCTGCATCTTTACTCTTTTTATCCAAGCTGTGAGTATACTCGTAACAAGGACTAGATTGAGCTATGAGTAAATTCGGAACAGCGATACAGTCATGTTTAACAGCTAGCTCTGCTCGTAATTACCAAAATGCGCAAATACCGCAGTGCTCGCTCTGTCTGAATATTTCAATTTTCCAATGAATGGCTGTTTCTTTCTTTTTGAGGGGTATAGAAGCTTTAAAAATGTCTTGAAAAGGCAAGTCCATGACCAACAAAGTATTTCAGGAAATGGCGCTAGGTTTGGAGAGTGAAGTAGACTATTCTAATGAGAGTGACGAAATTCAATGTGGATGATAACAAACAAGGAATTAGACTCATCCCGAAGTGAATCAGATCTTGGTGAAGGGACAAGCACTGGAATTTGTGCCAAACCAATGGGTAGGGGTAGATCTGTAAATCCAAGGGGATGTCGTGGTGGGAGAAGGGGGTGTTGCAATCAGGTTCAAGGTGTGACAAACACAAATGGAGGGAGGATACACCTCAAAATCTATATGGTGCAATTAGTGTAAGTCCTAACCGCATACATTTTCAGAAACTACATTCAATTCCCAACATAATTGCCAAGCTTCATTAAAATCTAAGAATAAAACTTTTAAAATACAGCACTTTGAAATAGACACCCTGAATTCCAACTTGTATTGTGCGGCGGCCCTAGGACCGGAAGAGCATCCTAGGCTGTACGGTCAGGATAAAAAGAGTTAATTATCTACAACGTGAACAGGGGCATTAAACCTGCATAATTTTGCAATTTTTCCCCTCACCTGGTTTAACCACCTTCTTGCGTTCTTTGCTCCACTGTGCCACTGCCCCACTGACACTGATGACATTTTGCACTGCTTTGTTCAGCGCTTGTTGAACCTCGTCAAGTGCTGGGTGCATCACAATTTGCGGAATGGCCAAAGTGGCATTGGTGCGGAAGAAAGGCCGGCTGTCCTTCTTTTGCTCTCCATATAAGGACATGTCACCTGGACAAAAATTGGAAAATTTAGATTTCAAAATATCACTCAAATCAGTGTTGTTAAAAAAAAGTTATGAAATGTTACACAGAAGCTGGCATAACGATGAAAGACCCTGAGCCTGCATGACAAAAGTGACTTTGTAAACAAGGGATTCTGAAAACTCACAATCATGTTGGCATTTTAAACAAGAGACTTATCTCAATTTTTCCCAAAGCCTCAAAAGAACTGTGTTTGTCTTTGCTTCAGCATGTGTAAAACCCCATTCTGTTTAGCTTGTTCCTTTCTCACGCAGTTTTCAGCTAAACTGGAGAACTTAGAGAGAATACTACTTGGGCAACTAATAACCGGCCTTTTTTAAAAATAGACTAAGGCAAACTAGAACAGTTTTCAGAGAAAAACTCAAGCTAAGAAGCACTCAAATGTGACTTCCAAAACCGTATCCTGAAATGATGAAAACCAGAGAAAAGTAGACTAATCTCTAATATAAGGAAAGTTTTATAACAATAGCACACATATGCATTTGCACAAATATAACATAACAAAAAAAACAATATTTTGACAGATCTTTAAACCTTAAAATATACCTTTCCCAAATGATCATCTTTTAGCTAGATATATTTAGCTTTTGCACACTCTGTGTCTAATGATCATCTTTTCGAGAGGCTCAGGGAATATTTTAGCAATGGAAACTCCCTGTTACGTTAGCACTGTCTGTCTCTTATGATTATGTTTCTGAGAGGCTCCGAGTATATTTTAGCAGTGGAAACTCTCTGCTTCTGTTACCGATGTAGTGAGCCATGGAGCTGGAGGTGATCCTCTTGCGTAGAGCTTCTAGAGTGTTGCGAGTTGCCTTCAGCAGGGCATCCAGGTTACGGTTGTTGAAGTGAGTCAATAGATCCATGGCTGACTCCTCAATGTTCTCCCTCAACTCCTTCTTCTTCTTCGCCACGGCATTGGCCTTTGAGGAGACTGGGCGGGACTTGCGACTGCCTGCGTGAGAACGGGCGGCCGAGCCCCCAGTCTGTTCATCACGATTGGTAGCCTCACCATCTGGGAGGAAAGAGACAAAATATTTTTCAGTAATTTGAATAAATATTTCAGATCAATAATGAAAAAGGTTTTAAACACCAAGTATTTTGAAAGGTACAAATATAGTCAGAGAAAATGTCAAATGGACAACATAAATAGGGATTTATTTCAACGTCCACCAAGAGCAAGCATCAATACTTTATCTTTGTTGAGTCATCAGAAACACTCTATACAGCGACAAAGCACAGCTGATTAAAACCTGCAAATTCTTTGCCATATCGACAGACCGAAGGGCTAGAACCCAAATGACTGCTGGATTGGGAAAGTAAAGTAAAGTAAAGTATCTTTGTTGAGAGTAACTGCAATAAAGAAAGGGAAATACAATCTGCATTAAGAATTTCAGTAACTCAAATAACAGAATTCAAGCGTCCTTAAAGGAGCTAAACTTGCCTGAGTATAAAAGAAAGTAGACATAGCAAAAGGTTTTAGGAATAAAATAGCCTAATCACTGACCTCCCATTTTTTACTCTGAGCATTAGTTTAGTTGTTATACGACTAAAACTGAAAAGTGTTGGTTATATGGGGCTTAAATTTCCAACTAATTCATTGTTTAGGACTTAATCAATTGGTGACCTTCTACAATGACCAAGAAAACTTCAGCTCTGTACCAACAAATACAAACACCAGACCTCTTGTCCTATTCAAACTATTCATTCGCATTCAAATAATTTTCTGTCACAAGTAATCTCACCTTCTCCCTGGCCCTCCTCCTCCTCAAAGCCAGCATCCTCTTCCTCTTCCTCCTCCTCTTTGCCCTCTAGTTCCAAGGGATCCACATCACACAGCATGTTGATTAGCTCATTGGCAGCCTCTTCCACGGTCTGACTCTTTGTCTGCAGAATCTGGGCACCCTTGCCACACAGTTTCTAAAAGCCACAAAACAGATAGTCACAAGGAGGTGGACAGGTGGGGTGAGAGACAGGAGTGGAAAGAACTGGGATTCAAAATCACTTCAAGGAATATGGTCAATGAAAGCCATCAAAAACTGGCCTTAGTATTTGTTATTTCTGATAAGAGTAAAAGTGCCAGGAAGAGACAACACAATCTTTATCCAAGATTATATTCACAGAACCCTACAATCCAACTTGAACATCAACCCATTAAAAATTTACAAATTGTAAAGATCTCTGCTTGACAAACCTAATACTTTGAGGATAGTTTTAAAGATGTGATGGGTGATTATTTGAATATTTCATCCACACCATTTACCATGCAAAAGAAATGAAAAGAAACTAGAAATATTAAAACATGAATGATCTCTTCCTTGTGAGTCATTTACCCTGAAACATAAGAGCACAACAGCTGAGTCAGAGAACATATGAGTGAAGAAACACAGAAGAGACCCCCTTTCCAACAAGAGGAATATCCCAAAAGTCAATGATGAGACTCAAAACTTACATAACAACAGGGTCATATCATAATTGCTGATGTCATTTTGTTGTTGTTGTTTTGAGAAAGCTTAACCCTATCAGATGAGCCCCTCCCCCCCCCCCTGACTTCACCCTATATCTGGCCTCTTTGGTAAGGCATAAAGGGAAAGAGCTCCCAATTACCAGTTGACTGTGAATTCGGCATTGGTGTCAGTTCTGTCATTCCCAGTGTACCGGGAATACGGTCTGACAGGGTTAAAAGAAAAAGGATTTATCAAAGTCCCTTATCATTTGAGCAAAAGTGAAAATGTCTCAATAATATGATTTTTAGTGCATGAAACACAACCTTGCTGCATTGAGGATCCGAAATTAGTAACAGGTACCCTTACCATACCAATTACAGTCTAAATTATCTTAGACGGCCACCCATTGTCAAGGACAAAAGTGGCCATGGCCATCTGTGCCCGTCATACACATAGTCATTATAATGTTTTTTAAAATACATAAAGGGGGGAAATGAGAAGTGGCCCTCCCTACAGGTGATTGTCTAATACAGGTGGTCATTAGAGCAGGATCAACTGTACAAACAAACACAGAAAGAAAAATGAGTTCAGTTATCCTGTTATGACCAGGACAATGAATTGTCATCTGTTGACACAAAGCATTACCTGTGTATTGTCAAGGAAGTCCTGCACAGTCCAGGGCTCATCCTCCGGCAGCTGACACAGGGTGGTGGAGGCCATGCTGCGCAGAATGGCATCAATACGGAACTCAGTCACATCATGGGCACGGTCCACCAGGAGCTCCAAGTCTGCCAGGTTTCTGCATGAAGTAAAGTGAAAAAGTTCTTTAGACATTTTCAAAATTCCTCAAAGCAGGCATTTATGTTAAGATTGTTGGTGAGCTGCAGTCTTCTTCATTTCTTTTCCTCTGTTGTTTCTGTCTGTCTTGTTTTTTTCCTTGCATTATACAGCCATTGTTGTACCAGTGTGTTTCGTGTTTCTCTTTACTCAAACCAATACCAAATTGCTTATCAGAATTATAACACCCACATTTTGCCGGGAACAGACAAAAGGTAATGGAAACCTTTACAAATAGTAGGCGAAGACAATATGGAACATCCACATACCACCCACACATTTTGTTCAAATACTATAGTATGAATCTAGTATCACATCTCGGATAAAACACTAGTCAACTACATGCTGAATCCTGAGCTTTGGACCTGAGGGGATAGCCAATAGAACCTGAGGGTGAAAGAAGTCATCTCTGAGAGAAGGGGAAACCTAGCAAAGAATATTGAGACAATTGAGATTTGTTGGCCACAGAAATAGATCAAATGAACTGGAGAAACTGCTGCTATGTAAACAGATAGAGGGAAAGAAAAGCAGAGGAAGATAGATGACAACATACACAGACGGCTTGAACAATGAACTTAGCAATAAATAACACCAAGAAAAAACGGAGCCGATCAGGAAGACACACAACAGGAAGGACTGGAGTACAATGAGCTTCAACGTCTGCTCCAGACATGACACCTGAGGAAGACACTTACTTGTACACATTGGCCACGAAGTCAGGTATTTTTGTGGAGGTCCAAGACAACATGGTCAGTCCAGGCTCAAGAGCATCGTCCACCTTGGCCAGGTGAAGTCCCATCAGAGCTTCGAAAGCTGTAGGGATTTTGGCCCGCACTCTATTGTTCTCCTCAAGCATCATCTGAGCAAGAGATTGTAACGATTGTGTAGATTGTAAAATGTTTTATGCTCCCAAAACCCCAACCCACTCAACCCATACTGGGTGATATGCAATGTTCAGAAAATTCACTATAAAACCACATTACCTATTTTACCACATTTTTGTCATTTTTCTTTCCAATATAAAGATACGCCCAAAATTCACTCCTGGGGAGACGTAGCTAATTTCTATTGGACAAAATTCACTTACTGAGAGGCCCGAATAATGGCTCTTGTACTCCATCTCCTTGGCTCTCATGGTCTTGGCCACTTGCGGAATCTCTAGGCCTAGATGGAACATGTGGTTGGCCTCTTTGATCATGGTGAAGATTTGGAAGTCAAAGTTCACATACACCTCTTTGGTCTCGGGATGACGCACCAGAAGAGAGGCCTGCAGACCAGCCTTTGCAGCTTCCATCTGGCAGAAAACACAGTAAATAAGTCAGTTTATTCACTGTTTAAGACCATTGGCCCACATCACATCACATAAAGCACTCATTTGATGAGTAAAGTTTCCATAATGAATAAGTACAGGTTGTGCACATATCTTTTATCGTGGGTCAAACATTGCATATTTCTGTCACTGGGCCGAGTCAGGCTGGGAGGGATTAAACATTTCCTTTGATGGACAAAGTATGAACAATAGAAAATAAAGTGAAATTCATCTTCAATTTCATGAGAGTTACACCTCTCACATAAGGGAGAAAACAATAGATGAACATGTAAAGTGTGTTCATTTTACATTTACAGGAGCACATAAGGTGTGCTGAATTTACATTCAAATGAGCATGTAAAGAAAGCAAGGTGAGTTTACATTTTAATGAGCATGTAAAGTGTGGTAGATTTACTCAAACGAGAATGTAAATAAAGCATGACGAATTTACATTTACATGAATATCTCGGTGAAGAACATTCATAGCTTAAATTAAACACTTTTACATGGTTAGGCAAGTACTTCAAAGGAAAACATTTAAAATGCTTGCAGGAAACCCAAGAACGTTCAGACTTTTCTCAAGGCTATGCACCAAAAGGACCTCAAATATCAACACATAGTGTAGATGAAAATAACTGGAGTATTAAAATTTGGAGACTGATTTCAATTTACTTAGAAGCCAGTAGGCTGTCCTCACACCAACATCAGTGTTTGAAAAAATGAAATTGCTTTTGAAAAGGATGCACTACACAAACAAAAAAAGAATCATTATCGAGTTCAAAGTTAGGGGAGGGGGGGGGATTAACCTTAAGGTCATGACCCTCACCTGACGCAGCCATCCTCTGTAGTACAGAACTTCAAACTCCAGCAGGACTTTCGCCAGTTTGTTGTAGTTCTTCACAATCTTCTTGGCATCTGAGCCATGCAGGATTGACCCCTGACGTTGGAAAATTTCCATGGGCTCCTGTAATAAAAGTTCACATTCATGACACAGCTGGTTTTAAGGTAATGTTGCTCTAGTCCAAATTCTTGACACCAAAAAGTCAGTAGGGAGGAGAGCTACACACTGTGAAGTTTTAGAGTTGTGTTTTTCTCCCAGGCCACACCTTAGTCAAGAATTTTAACGAATGAGAGGGCCGGACAAAAGACATTGTAAGAGTTACAAATTGATGTCACGCCTATCAGGGGCATTTGTCCATCAGGGGAGTATAGTGCCCCCTTATGTCACTTATGTTGGCACCACAAACTATTCAAATATGCCAGCTCCACCAAGGGTAATTCCTTTCAATCCATTGTTTTAATGAAGTGACAAAGTAAAAACGCCAATGTTAGCAGAACACAAACAATCTAAGCAATATATTTGTTCAAATTAGTGTCCTGAAGTGTTGGAAAGAAAGTTTGCTCGCCAAGGAGGAGTAAAATAGGAAGAAAAAATAGACTCAACATAGTCCCACGCAGAACTATTGACACTGCATACAGAGTCTTCAGTGCAGGGAATTAAACTAAAGTGATGTCAAAGAGGTGTTCTTTTTACAGTCATCCTTTAAAAAGCCAATGCAAGAGTTTTTTTCTGGAAAAAGTAAAAATGACAGGAAGCATTGAACCACAAGCAGTGTTAAAAAAGAAACTGTTGCTTTATAATGGTAAAAATGATTTCTCAGTATTAACCTTGAAGGAGAGGGAAGCAATTTTTGGCACCAAAATAAGGAAATAATCCAAGGATACAACATGTAAGATTTCAGTATACTGAAAGAAAAACCTCCTTCACTAGATCGAATCAATACCTGAATTCTGCGGAAGAGTTGTCGAGCCCACGAAATCTTTCCTGCAATCGGAGGGTGATCTCTGTCCAGAGGAGGATCATTCTTCTGTTTCTGGTAAATCCTCGACACCATGTCAATATCACGGCTGAAGACACAATATACAAGATTTTTTTCAAAGGTTAATAAAGTGCACCATTTAAAAAGTTACTGTGATATTATATTGCCTTATATCTCTGCTTCTGGATCGATAACAGAAACAACCTGGATCCATAACATATCCTTGGATTATTCAAACACTGAAATGTCTATCGAGTTTATGCTCTCACAAGACAAAAGGCAAATTCCCCAAAAAATGAAACTTTATACAGGTGCTGTTTTCCTTTGTATCAATAAATTATTAAATATTCACACTTTTATTCTACTTTTCCACTGTAATAATGATGATGATCATGATGATGATGAGAAGAAGTTTTCCATTTCAATGTCGAGACATTTCAGTGCTAAAAATGTATCTGTATTATTCAAAAGAAAATTTTTGGTAAATGTTCCAATACTCTCTTCCTTTTCTTTCTTTAATCTACAGTTTCACAAGGAGGGTGATGATGATGACTACTTCTGTTACTATAGTGTTGTTATCTTTCTTTCTTATCATATTAATGATGAAGCCCCAACGGAGTGAAATATTGAACATTTTTTAATAATACCACCAAAAAATTTATGTTTTATTTTTAAAAAACCCAAGTCTCTATATACTTTGGGGG